AACCCCAAAATGCTCATCCAAGTCTAACTGAACTACCCTCCTTGCTGTTTTTCAAACCTACCAAATAGCACCGTGGCTCAGAGCCTCAGGACTTCTGTTTTCAATGCCTAGCTCACTTTTCTGGGGTCTTCATAGCTAGTTTACTAACCTCCTTCTTGTCTTCACTAAAAGGTCACCTTTTTGCTAGGTCTGTTCTACCCACTCCTCCTCACTTTTCAGTACTTCATACAAACTCATTTTCCCACTTCCCTGCTTCATCTTGGTTTACACATTTATCTTCATCATTGCTACCTCTCTTGCCCCCACCACTAGGGATGGGTTTATTCCATGGATGGGAAGTCTACCATATTTGGTTGTGGTGAGTGTCGGTTATCTGGGTTCTGGATGCCATTTTCTCACTGTAACATCATATAGCAATAGAGGTGAAAGATCCCATCTCCATGGAATCTCTTATATATTCAGGAGCACACTAATGACCTTCTAACAGCACTACCACCAAAAATCAACTCAGAGGTTAAAATTTCAAGACACGAATTTTGAGAGCACAGCAAGATTTAGCCCTTTGCAACTAGTATTCCTACCTGTTTATGTCCACAATATCCACAGCTCCTAAAACAATGACTAGAATATTGTAGGCTATCACCAAATCTCCTGAAATAAATGATTGATTAGTTGTGAAATTAGAAGGCCAGTTAAAAGGTATTTCAGTATCACAGATAATGTAATCACTGTCACAGTCAGAATTAAGATATACAAAGAATGAAGGGAATGGCTTAGGTAGTAGGAAAAAGAACTGATTACTGACTTCCTGTGTGAGAGACATGACAGAAAGGGACAAGGTGAATCAGCTGACTTCTGGGTGCTTAATGTAGGCAGTAACATATACCAGCATTAGAAATAGCATGTGTTGGGGGTAAAGGATGTATACTGTGGAAAAAGATGCCAAGTTCAACTGTGAACTGTTCATTTAGGTGGTTGTAAAGCATCCATAAGCTATTCAGTGAGCAATGATATGGAATTCAAAGAGACTTATAGGTTAAGGATGTGTCTTAAGAATACACTACTGGGTGCTTATTAAAACCATGACATGGGATGAGATCATTGAAGATCACATAACAGAAAAGGACTGTGGCCCAGTCTTTGTTAATCTCATATCTAAAATCTTAAATGAACACAAAATTGTCCAAAAGTCCAGTAAATACAATATAATGTGTATCTAAGTTTATAGTTACCCTTCCACTAATGTCTCCCATTCTTGAAGATAATGGGAATTCCTTATCAAATTGCTCTACAGTCACAAATATAAGGCACACCTATGTATCAATACAGAGGTTAATACTCATATATAAATATATTTATATATTTCAATATTAACATAATAAATATATAGCCTAATAAATATCTCTTAATAAAAATATATATTAATAAACATTAAGATATATTTTCAAATTAAAATTAAATCAGTTTTATTTGCATACTTACTATGCAATAAAATATATACATGCTATGTGTAAAAAAAAGTTCTAGACATTTCAAAAGCACTCAATAGATTTTTATTACCTTTGCTTTCCCAAGTGAGATCAAGAGACAAGAAAGTCAATACTTTCATTCCTCCGCAGTTTGTGGCAACTTAGGAAGGAAGTATACATAGGAAGTTCATGTTCTTTGACTGAAACCTACCTGGCTTCCATTTCCAGCTCTGTTATCATTGAAAAGAGTATTTACTTTCTCAGCCTCACTTTCCCTATATTCAGAATGGAATCTTTTTTAAAATAATTTATTGAGAAGTTCATACATGCATATAAGGTGCTTTGATCCTATCCACGCCCACTCCTTCCCCTCCAACTTTTCCCATATCTCCCCATCACTTTTTTCTGATAACTTTATGTACTCTTTCTTCTTTTTCTTTTTTTTTTTTTATGGGGCTTTTTGCTACTCTAACATAGAATCTTAATAGAGACTTCACTAGATTGTTGTGCCAATTAGCAATCAGCATGTGTAATGCCTGAACAAAGCCTTTCACAGAAAACTATAAAAAGAGAGGCTTCAACCTCAAGAAAGTTTTCCAAGTTATTAAAGAGGGAATCTGGGTAAACATTTTACAACTAAATATTTGTTTTTCTGTTTTAATGTAAGCACTGATCCAGGCTCTTAATTAAAAGCAAAATATTTTCTTGCACACGTTTCAACTGCATTATAAGTCTACATTCAAACAAATATTTGCGAACATATTTTCTGTAAGTTTATAAAGCTTACATTTGACTTGAATTACCATAAGCTTTGTAATCAGCAGCATGCAGAGACTCACCTGTGAGTTACAAAGCAGCTACTTCCTCAGCCATTTACAGGGTGGAACAATTAATTCTTCCGTAATTATTGCTTGTGAGATTAAGGAAATTTAGGCTCCCACCCTTTGTGTCTTGAGTCATATGTCTCAAGGTGATTTCAGTCTCTGAGTTCAAAATATTTTCAGTGAACTGAAGGCAAAATTGGCTCTAAAGTCATTCCCATGGAAGGTGAGCCTCATCCAAACCGAAGCACGTGCTGACTCCTTGTTTTTGAGTATGTGTTACTCTGTATCAGATTTCACCTCTGAAAATTCAATCAGCCCTCAGTTGTTCTGAGGACTAGTGCACTGGAGACTGCTTTAGCCTTTGGGTTTACCCTGGCCTTCAACTCTGTCGCCTACTACTCAGGAGCCACTACTATTTACTGAACTCATAGATCTCAGATACTACAGGCCACAGTAGCATCTCACTGGCCCAACAAACCCCAAAGGTAACAGACAAGCCCACTGAAGCTCAAAAGGTTAGCAAATATCAAAATACCGGTTTTCTTCCAAATGTTCCACTTGGAGAAAGCCAGTTTTCATCAATATTACCAAATAAGGAAATAAGACGAAGTAAAAAGAGACCATAAATGTAAAGCTATGTCATCTTTTTTCTTTATTACATTATCCTTGAGTCATTTCCTTCCTATTACATGTATTTAAATGCACTTTAATTAAATGATCATGATTGATCAGCTTTTAATATGTAATGCACATAGTCAATAAAATTGAAAGTTAGTAAATCTATGTCCACCTCCAACTATCTTCTAAAATGTTGTTGGTCTCAGTGCCACTGCACAAAATCTACTGAAAATTTACTGCAACAAGGCAAGAGATCTGCAATGGCAATTTATAGATCTGTGGATTAGACAGAACTAAACACCACCCAGCAACCCTGCCATGAAACTGAGAACCAATGACTGCCTTAGACCACAACCTCATCTCAGAATGTCCACAAAATAAATGGAAAAATGAAAGACTAGAATCTGACTAAATGTAACTGATTCCCAGTTTTGCTAAAGTTTTTAAATATGGAATATTCTAAGGAGCTACCATGCATAATAAATATTTATAAATTTCATAAATATTTACAAAACACCTAAGTATGCCAGGCCCTCTAGTACATCGTGAAAACTGTCTACTCTGAAGGAATTCATAGTTTAGTGGATATTTAACTAGAAATATTTAATTTTATTTATTATTTTTAATTTATGTATATGAGTGTTATGCCTGCATGTAAATAAATGCACCTGTGTTGTGCAATCAATGCCCAAGGAGGACAGAAGCTGGAACTGGAGTTATCGACAGTTGTTAGCTGCCATATTGGTGCTGGGATTCGAACCTGGGTCTTCTACAAGAATAGTCAATATTCTTAACTGCTGAGCCATCTCTCCAGCCCCAAACTAGAAATATTTTTATTTCATTTTATTTATTATTTTTATTTTTATGTGTATGCGTGTATTGCTTGCATGTAGGTAAGTGCACCCCTGTTGTGCAATGCCAGCAGAGGACAGAAAAGGCTGTCAGATTCCCTGGAACTGGAGTTATGGACAGTTGTTAGCTGCCATGTGGGCCCTGGGATCCGACCCCCGGTCTTCTTCAAGAACAACCAGTGTTCTTAACCACTGAGCCACCTCTCCAGCCCTAGAAATATCCTTATAAGACCTTACATAACAGCATTTCATCTTCAAATAGCCTTGCGGAATAGCTACTATTATTCCCATTTCTTCAAATAGAGTCGTAGATACGTGACATGACAAAGCAAGCAGGAGGCTCTGCTGGTAACCTCCCAGAGTGAGTGTCCATGACCATAGTGGCGAGAGGGAGACAGTGAATCGCATTTCTCTAAATGATACATCTATAATAATGGAGAAAGTGTATGAGTACAAAGTAGCTGGCCTACTCCTCAGCTGATGAAGTCACGGAGAAAATGTTAAGTCACAGGTGTCCTCTGGTGACAGAGCAGTTCTAATTCATTTCACGTGCTTGCTACTTTCCTTGCTCCAGCCTTTGGCCGCTGCCCACATCATCATGCGTAGCAACGTAGCATCTGAAGGGATCTACTATTCTAACTCTCCCTGGCTTCTTTCCGCTCCCTAACCATTTAATCTAGACATAGTCCCGCCTCAGCACACCCCTGATGATGGACCCCAGATAAGACAGGTTGCTGTAGTAGAATCAAGTTCAGGATCTTGGAAGGCATTGAAATTCCACAGAAGCTTTAGCTATTAATCTTGAAAGTACACCAATTGTGTGCTGAGTATGACATGGCACCGGCCTTTAAAGGAAGCAAAAGCAGGCTGATCTCTGTGTGCTTGGGGCCAGCCTGATTTATAGAGTGAGACCCTGTCTCAAAAGAAACAAACAAAAAGTGCATGCCAATTGGTAGAAAACGAGAAAGCAATTCCAATTCTAAAGTATAGGTCATATTTTCTTATTCGTCTACCAAATTACTTGAAAAAGTCACTAATTTTGTGCAGAAAGGAAAAAAAAAACAAAAAAACAGAAGTCTTGAAAGAAAAACCTTCAAGAACAGCCAGGCTCAGTTCAAGTTGATTTCTAGGGCTGTTTCTATGATCAGATTCATGTGCAAGCTGAGAGAGTCAAAAGACAGAGCCCTGAACACAGGAGTAATGGTGATGCGTCTCCTAAGTGAACTGAGTGACCTTCTTTCATTCCTGTTCTCAGGCCAAGACCAAGGCCATCAAATTCAAGGTTCTTCAGTCCGTTTCTAGTAGTTTTCATTGTCATTGCAGCAGTGGTGATCCTGGCGGTGACTGTAGGTCTACTTATCCACTTTTTAGCTTTTGGTAAGTATCGAATTATTACTTTTCAGATTAAATATTGAACTATACCTTCAAATTACAAATGTGGTCTTAGAGAAAACCAGTAATGAGGAATAATCATTTTTCAGCTGATCAAATGTAAAGATGGCAGCTAAACTGTGTTTTCTACAACATTTTACTCTCATTTACTCTTCAACATGTGTATATATCACAAAAAATAAATTAAACTGTTTAAATATTTTTGAAATTTCAAAATTATTCCATTATTTGAATTCTTTTTATTGATGAATGAACCATCACATTATAGATATCTCAATGATTTCTGAATGCATAAACTGAAAAGATCATTAAGATGTACTACTAATAAAAATTATAGTATTTCTGAACAATTTTAAGGACTCATAATGCTAATCTGACTTCCATTATCTTTAACAATTTTAACTTTATTAATCTTATGAAAAACCAGGAGAAAATAAGCATTAGTTATCTTTATATTATGTATAGACTTTTCTTTATTTTAAGGAAAATAATTTTAATTGTATACATTTTCATAATCTTGTAGAAAATAAAGGCTCAGCTACTTAGTAGCATAAGACTGATTTTGCCTTTCTTTCTTCTCCAGACAAAAAAACTCACTTTTACCACAGCAGCTTTCAAATCTTAAATGTTGAATATACTGAGGCTTTGAGTTCACCAGGCACACAGGAATACAGGAATTTGAGTGAAAGAATTGAGTCTATGGTATGTTGATATTTGTTTTGGTTCTATATTCCAGTGCAAAATGAATACACTAAGAAACCTAATATTTCTGTAATGTTTTTAATTGCTAGATAATCTACATACTTTCTTCCTCTGAGTGGCTAAAAAAACAATTTTTCTGCTTTCTCTGAGTTATTTTGCTAGTGTATTTGTTCTTATTCATATTATTTATGTCATAAGTGTAAAATTTCAGAAAAGCCATAGTAAATACATGTTTTATTTGATTAGGACTTCAAAGACTATTATTTGTGTGTGTTAAGTATTGAGGTTACCTTTTTTGTGCCTTTTACTCTGTCTTTTTTGTTCTTTCTGTATTCAAGTAAACACAGAAAGTAATAGGTGTTAAAGATATGTTCACCATGTAAGGAATAACATGATTTGGATATCACAGTGCTCTAATGAAGGCCTTATAGTTTGAATAGAATAATTCAAAGCAAGCTTTGCCTCTAGATTAAAGATGCCACTGGCTATCTGCCAGGTCCAGACGGGAGGGCTGGTTTCCAGTCCTGCAGTTAGAGTTGACCAGTCTCAAGTTGCTCACTTACCCTCTCCTTTTTAAAAGTCCTAAAAAAAAATTAATCCAAAACTTGTGAAACTTTAACATGTAGCAAAGTCATTTAGCAGTCTCATTGAAACACAGATTTTTGGGCCTTTGACTCGGATTTTACTCAATAAATATTGACCCCAAAATTCACATTTTTAACTTGCTCCACAGAGACACTAATGCTGTAGATTCACAGACCACATTTTGATAGACTAATCTTTAATGAACACTATTATTGCTGGGGAACTTGAATAATCAATTTGTTTTATACAACTTAGAAACAAATGTCATTGAAAGCCAAGTTATAGAAGTTTCAGTAGAAAAATGCAAAGCAAGCTTTGACTCTCACTTCAAGAGGTCCACTCTCTGCTTGTCAGGTCCTCCCAAGCAAATGCTGAACATTCATGTATTCATGTAACCATGCAATAGATTGGAGTTTCTTAAACTTTTTCCACTTGTGACCCCTTTTGCCTAAGAAATTTTTTATACAATCCTGGGTATATAAGTATGTAGAATAGGAACGCAAACATTTACTGACAATCATAAACTTAAATAAACAGGCAAAGTAATAAATTTTAAAAGATATGTTCACCATGTGAGGGAAAATAT